ATCATATAAACAACTCCAAATCAAAAATTTGTGGGTTTTATGATATTCTTTATATCTGTACTAAAAGTTATCAATGCTCAAAATTTGCTACAAGATGAATGTACAGTACTCGGTGTCTCAGTGATCAGCAAATATAAGAAAACAAGGGGATTGTCATCCGCTCTTGATTCAGAAATTTAAGGAAAGTCTCTCTGCACTAGGAATTAAGAATATTGGGCAGAAATCCAATATTCTTGGATTTTTGGATTCTTAGAAATTCTGTCTTGTCTTCCCATGGAGCCTAATTTTCCTTTTAGCCACTGAGATCAGATTGCAGCCATAAAGCTTGAAAATTACTTTTTCAAGTGAAAACCGATATTTTCATAATATTGCATAAGTGAATTAAATGTTTGGAGTTCACTCACAAACATGTAATCTAGCTCAAGATTTTCAATAAATGGATTGTCTTGCTTGTATTTCTATTGACTTGCTTATCCCATTGATTTCCAGTGGGTCTACCAAAGCTTCTTCTACAGTTACAACATATAGTAGGCTAAACTGCAGCCTGTTAATGTCACCTATAATTGTTAGCTTGTGGGCAGGCCAGTGACCATTGTTTTGGTTAACAATTATGTGTGTGCCCAGGCAAAATACTCTGCCAGATTTGGCAAACTACATAATGGCAATTTGTATGGCACAAAATAGCTAACACCAGACAGCTATCCTGTCTCTTTCACTCATATATCATAGGGATATATGTAATATGGGGTCATTTATCTTGATACCAAGACAAATATCTCACATGAATCCACTCCCTAACCTCCATGGTAAGCTAGCTGAGACACCAACTCTCTCCTCACCTAAGATGGACACTTGAGAGTGAGTAATAAAAAGTGGAGGGTAATGTGGATGTTTTCCCACACTGCAGCTGTAGGACTGGGTTTAAATGACACAACGGCCTCCCCTTACCTCCTCAGGTACCATCAAGTATCTTTTTCTGGTTGGAGAAGAAATGTTGGTGGGCAGCAGGATTAGTTGACTTGGAGTATGGAGGTGTTGCAGGGGTGAAATCCAGCAGGTTTTGACAGGTTCTGGAGAACCGGTAGCAGAAATTTTGAGCAGTTCGGAGAACCGGTAGTGGAAATTTTGAGTAGTTCGTAGAACCAGCAAATACCACTTCTGGCTGGCCCCAGAGTGGGGTGGGAATGGAGATTTTGCAATATCCTTCCCCCAGGAGTGGGAGGGAATGGGGATTTTGCAGTATCCTTCCCCTGCCATACACACCAAGCCCCACCAAGCCACGCCCACAGAACCGGTAGTAAAAAAATTTGGATTTCATCACTGAGGTGATGGTTGTAGAAGCAGCAGCAATGATTTCTCTCTTAGGTTCCAGCTATACTTGCTCAAGTTAAATATTCTCTTGTTCATGACAGCCAAATACCAAAGGAAATGGCCCGTGGAGCCACATTAACCTATGCTGCCTGATTGATAGCACCTGGTCTGTCCAGCAGCTTCAAACTAAAGTTCTCATCCGCTCAAATTAGCATGGTGAATATGTTGGGAATTATAGTTTAAAATATGTGGATAAAATATCAGGTTGGGGGAAAGTGCAATGAAGAATCACAGACTTGAGGCTTCCCATTTGAAGAGAAACAACTTTCAATAGAGCAGAGATATGCAAAGCCCATTTTTGCTCATTGTATATAACAAATGTGTATATACGTAGGGGTGTCTGTTGCAAAGGTCATCTTGCTGTTGAATCTTATCTTTGCAATTTGGTTTGATGCCCAGTGTGATTCCTTTGTAATTAGATAAAAAGATAAAGACACTCTTGAATAGAGTTAGACTGTTAATGACTTCATGGAGCCGTTTACATTGTTTTTTAGCAACAATATGGAAAAGGGTTGTCATTGCTTTCATTCAGGTTGTTAATTTCATAGCCTAGCCTAGCCTGTAGCCCTGGGATTCCTGGTGGATTTTCACCCATATTTTTCCAAATCCAGCTGTGTTTAGGTATTTCAGGATAGTTTAGGTTGGCTGTATGTTACCACCTTACCATGATCTAAGAAAAAAATTATATAAGGGGCATTCACTTTTCCAGACAAACTGATGTAAAATTATTAAAAGAGAAATATATTTACTTATTTTCCTGGAAAGATTTTTAAATAGGAGCTTTGGCTCTCATCTGCTAGTCCCACATCACTATCTGCTGGTTTTGCTGTCCCTCCAAAATGGCTGATAGGAAAACGTGGTCTCAGAAAACTACTGAGGGATCAGTGGGTTGTTCTGCATTGCCATAGATGTGATTAGTCCTCAATTGATATCACTACTTCTCAATGGTGGCACCAAGTGAGAAAAGAAGTCAAGTCAGCCCTTTGCCCAGGATATGTTTTCTTGTGCTTTTTGCTGGCTCCTAAAACTGCAGTAAATCTCTGATAAATCTCCCCTCTAGAAAATTGCTGCCAGTAAAAAATATCTGTAACTAAAGCTACAGATATACTATTTAAAGAGAGCAGGAGCAAAACATGAGAAATGTTGTCTTTGCCAACAAGCTTTTATTACTGTAACTGACTCTGAACTTGACTCCATAATAGATTGGTGGTATATAGTAGTATTAAGTCCTTTGGTGGGATATGGGGGATTTTGTATTGTATGTCTCAACATGCCAAAAAAATATAATGTCTGCATTCAACTACTGCATTGCCGGAATTCAGAAGTACAGTCTGAGGAACTTCACAGGCACAAAAACACATTTTAAAAAGAATTCTATTAATTGCAGATTCCAAGACAATGATTTAAAAAATGCTGCAAAATTAATTCTTTGCACAGTTAGGTGGTAAACAATAGAGATTTATGATGGTTATAATGCCTTGAAGTCATTTGATTGTGATTTGCAACCTTCCCAGCTGGCTTCCAACATGCAAAGTCAGTTGTGAAAGCTGGATTTGCTTAACAACAGTATTGTTCACTTAACAACCACGTGATTTGCTTAACAACCATGGTGACTCACTTAATGACTATGATAACAATGGCTGTAAAATCAGGTCCAGTCAAATGGTGACTGACTTAATGACTGCATCACTTAGCCAAAATTCTGATCCCAGTTGTGGTTGTAAGACAAGGACTGTCTGTGAAAATAACATGCTCAGTTTTGCGGTTCAAACAATTTCAATGTTGTCCTACGCCAATAAATGTATATTAGATGTTCTAACCGCATTTGATGTTTTTAAAATCTATGTGGGCTGAAGAATGTATCAGAAAGCATAACCCAAATGATAAACTTAAATAATATCAGTTTAATATTTGGTCATGCAATTACTGTTCTCCATAAAGCAAGCAGATGACAGAGACCCTATACTAGATTTAAACAGGAAGAAGGATGTGGCAACAATGCCAGAAGAAAGAGAAGAAAATTTCAGTAAGAACATGGTTTAAGAGCTGGAGAATTAGGAAGAAATAGCCCTATAAGCCCCATATACTTATCAAATCATTACAACAGCTGACAGTTCATAAGATGGTTTCTTTTGTTTATGCCTCAATATTAAATGGTTTCAAATCTTGTTGGAATAAGAATCTTACATGTTGAGTATTTTAAGAATACAAATATTTAGGGAAATGAAATTTGGGGAAGTAGCAAATTCTAAAACAGAAATCATCTGAGCCTGAATGATTCATTCATTTACATACTTACATCTCTATACATGTAGTCCTTGGCTTGGGACTGGATTTTGGTTGCTAAATGATGTGGTCTATGAGGATGGGTCATAAATCACGATTTCCAAGCCTGTCGTAATGTAAATGAACCATCCTTAAATGAACGGTTTTAAGTCAAGGACTATTCCGGTACTACTTCATCTAGTGACGTAGGATAAGGCTCTTCCTGTATTGCTCATAGTCTGAATAGTCTTTTAAAAAAAGGAAAGAATGATAGGAGTCAGTGATGAATTCTTAATGAAGCCACTTTTGGACTTTTTGCAAAAAACTAAAAGAAATATAATTTTGATTTTGGGATTTGATGATTGGAATTATATAGGATTATAGACGTAATATATATTGTTAATTTTAGAATAAATTGTATTTTTATATCTGAATCAAAGAAAGTCAAAGCTATTTGTTCTTTTTCTTTACTTTTTCCTTTGTTTTTTGTACTTTTATCTTGTTTTTTGTCTGATTCTCTTTTTCTCTTTTCTTTTTGCCTTGCTCATTTATTTTTTATTCATGTTTTTGAAAGTTAATAAAATTGTATTAAGAAAAAATTATATCTTACCTTCTAATTTAATTGTATTAAGAATAACAGTGTAAAAAATATAGTGTAAAAAAATATACAGAGCTATTCCATAAGTTATTCCTCTGGCCCAGAGGAATACTGGTCATTCTAACTCGTTCATTCTAGTATCCAGTCTTTGAAAAGCAGCTTGAAGATTACTAGTGATTTTCTTGGCTGTCGGTCTTGAAATGCTGATAAGAAGTATTGCTAAGCCATCCAGCTACTATTCCTCCTGTGCATTGAAATGATTGTAAAATGGGTTCCAAAAGAGGACTCCAAAAGAGAGGAGATAGCAGATTCTGCCAATGGCAAAGTAACCAGTGTTGAAAAATGAGACAGATCTGGAACTGATTCTGAACTAGTTCTGAAATTCTCATGTAGAAATACCCTGTATATCAGAAATCTTACAGGATCAATAGGTGAAGATTTTCACTTGCCTTCCATTTGAAAACTTCAGAAATTTGTGGTAGGCGTACCCATTATCATATGGACTTCATTAAACATGTTTGTTAATTGGTCCAGATTTTTCAATAAAATAAGGCCAGCCTACTTTGTCTTTTATTCTTCAAGTTGCTCAAAGTATAGGCGTAATTTTACAAGGCCAATAATCTAAGCACTGGGCTCCAGTGCTCACAATTTAAATATACCTTTGTATCTGCTATTTAACTCTTTCCACAGCTAGAGTATGCTTTAATGTGGCACAACTTTTTAGTATACAACAGGTAATATTTGCATAATTCTTTTTTCCCCCCAGGACTTCTTGTGGGAACTCTTGATGTTATGTTAGATTCAAGTGCAAGAGTAGCACCATATCGTATTCTGTATCAAGCACCAGATTCTATGATATACTGGACTATTGCTTGTGGTAAGTATGTGAACTGTTTTCAAGGTATTGTTTTTTTGACCAAAGATTATTGGATGTAAATAATACAGTTACATTGTATCAGTTTTCCTTTATAATGGTTATTTTATACTGAACACTGGGCCCTATCTAACAAAATGAAATTCAACAGTGAGGAAAGCAAAGTTCTACATTTAGCAAGAAAAACCAAATTCACAGCTATAGTATAGGTGGTACCTGGCTCAAAGTAGTAATTGTGAGAGGGATATTGGAGTCCTAGTGGACAATCGCTTAAATATGAGCCAGCAGTGTGCTGCAGCTGCCAAAAAAGCCAACACAGTTCTAGGCTATATTAATAGAAGTATAAATCAAGATCACATTAAGTGTTAGTACCACTCTATAATGCCTTGGTAAGTCTACATTTGACACTCTATAATGCCTTGGTAAGTCTGCATTTGGTAAGTCTCTCATTTGCATCCAATTTTTGTTGCCATTATATAAAAAAGATGTTGAGACTCTAGACTCTAGAAATAATACAGAGAAGAGCAGTAAAGATAATTGGGGGACTGGAGGCTAAAACATGTGAAGAACGGTTGCAGGAATTTGGTATGTAGGGTGACATGGTTGCAGTGTTACACTATCTAAAGGACTGCTATGAAGAAGAGGGGACCGATCCATTCGCCAAAGCAACCTGCAGGCAAGACAAGAAGCAATGGATGGAAACTAGTCAAGGAAAAAAACAACTTAGAATTAAGGAGAAATTTGTGGACAGTGAGAACAATTAATCAGTGGAACAGCTTGCCGCCAGAAGTTGTGAGTGCTCCAACAATGGAGATTTTTAAGGAGAGATTGAAGAAGTATTTGTCTGAAATGGTATAGGGTTTCCTGATTGAGCTGGCAGTTGGACCTCCAAGTTCCCTTCCAGTTTTGTTATTATGTTATGTGGTTCCTTGTAGATGCATTATGCTTTGGTTTCCATAAGAATTAGCCAACTTGCACAGTAAATGTGGATCATTTTTTACTTTCTGTTTACTTTTTTTTTTAATCTAGTTTTCCATCTAATTCTGCAGGTAGATGCAAAGATGAAATGCTGATTTACACTTCTGTTTGTGGTGCTGCTGTAGCTGAAGGGTTTCTCTGTGTCCTCTGTGCAGCCCTAGTAATTTTGGATTCTGGCCTTTATTTTCAATAGGGTTGAAATTCCTTGAATGAAAATGCATATTTATTCTTTGTAAAATATGGTCCACCAGATCAGCAGGACTTCTCATGCTTATTTTGCTGAATGAGAATTCCTGTATGATTGGCTTGCCTTGTCTTTGGATAGCAAATAGTGGACATAGTTATGAGGTATTGGACTAGGACCACAAAGACCAAAGTTCAGCTGTATTCTCAGCTATGGAAATTAAATAATTATTGTTGTAGGGATAAAATGAAGGGAGACTTTTGTGAAAAGTGCAAAGTTAGAACTGGAATAAAGATGGGTTGTGTGTACACTGAACATGATAAAGGAGAATATTGAGTTTTGAATGGAGACAGTCAATGGGTTTGAGGAGCATTGTCTGTACATAATTAAAAATCTCAAATTTCCTTCATAAATCTGAGGGATAAATCCTAGTTTTCTGTATTGGAAGCTGAAGTTCTAAAATTTCAGATTCATCTTCATGGACTGGATATCAAATTTTTGAATGCTTTCACTCAAGCTTTTGATACGTTCTTTTTTAAATGTTTAATTGCTACTGTGAATTTAATCACACCTACTTAGGTGTTGCTGATATGCTGTAGGACAGGTTCTAAGTAGAAGATTCCATATTTAAGGGCCCATTTATATACAATTTGGGATAAGTTTATTGCATGCAGAGAGGGCATTCAGTGGTTCTGTCCTTTACCCAGATTTCAATTTTTATATATATTCCTCAAATAATTTATGTTGTGACAAGGAATTAATAACTTACTACTAAACTATAGGACTTTCCCATTAAAATATTACAGGTGTGAAGGAAGAATTATTTTGAATCTTTGAGCATGCAAGCATATAGAAATTGGAGAAAGACTAACTCAGATTTCAGAACAACATCCAGTGTTTAACAATATATTTTCATACCTTAATTTCAAGCATGGTTCAGTGCACTTATCAGATAAGAGATTCTGCTGCTCTGGTTCAATTATGCAGGCTTTTCAGAGTGATGCATGTTCCAAGAAATACGAGGCCTCCCTGGAAGGGAGACAGAATGATGTCATTCCTCATCAGCAGACCAGGATCAGATATATAAGCTTATGTTTGCAGTTCTCCAGAAACAATATCATTCTGCAAGCTCTGTAGGAGGTTAAGAAACAGTTTATTTCCACATTACATCCACCAGTGCCTTTCTGACAGAATTCTAATAGGCTTTTCAATGATTTATATGCATTGTATGCAATATGTATTGCAGCATTCATATTCATTTCAAAATACTGTTATTGATTGTGAGCACAATTCAGCTATGAACACACAGACTCGCCACACTATACTCTCTCTGGGTAAGTATCATTAGGAAGAATAGAGAAAAGGAGTAAGCAATAGTAAGCCAAAAAATGGAAGTCATGAAGTAAGAAAAATCAAATAGAATAACAGAGTCAGAATGGACCTTGGAGGTCTTCTAATCCAACCTCCTGTTCAAGCAGGAGACCCTATACCATGTCAAACAAATGGCTGTCCAATTTCTTCTTAAAAACCTCCAGTGATGGAGCACCCATAACTTCTGAAGGCAAAAGCTGTTCCTCTGGTTAATTATTCTCACTGTCAGGAAATTAATCCCTAGTCCTAGATTGGCTCTCTCCTTGATTAGTTTCCATCCATTGTTTTTTGTCCTGCCTTCTCTTGCTTTGGAGAATAGGTTGACCCCTTTCTTCTTCGTGGCAGCCCCTCAAATATTGGAACACTTCTATTATGTCGCCCCTAGTCCTTCTTTTCAACAGACTAGACAAACCCAATTTCTGCAACCGTTCTTCATATGTTTTAGCCTCCAGCCCCCTATTCTATTTAGGGTGTAAATGGAAACAGAGAACCAGATGTTTCTGGAGAAAGAGCAGCTTTGTCTTCTTGTGATTCAACTTCAGCCTAGTCAGGCCTCCACAGCCTTCAGACATGGCTTACAATTTCTATGGCATCTCAAGTCGTGCCTACGGTGGACATTGTACAGATGGATATCACCCACAGGTTGATGATACCTCATCCTGAACTACTGGATGACTTTTCCAGGTGTTTCATGTAGATGCTAAAATGTAGGAGTGAGAAAAATGAATCCTTCAGATTCCTACAACAACATCCACCGAGCTGATTACCATCATTCATACCTATAACATCATTTCCCTTACCATTAGTTTCACTTACACACAATGTACCTATTTTTTATTTACTAATTTGTAAATTCATGCTCTTTACCACTTACATTCCAAGTCATAATTTTCATATGCCCTAGTCATCACTATGTGGTTGATAGAAAACTGGTGATGATGATAAAAAGCTAAAATGACTTTTATTGAATTTGCCAATAATAATAGAATCTTGCAAGTCTGGTTTTGATGTTGTTCTTCCTCCTTGTTCAGTGAATTATGGAAGTGTCTGCCTGAGCGAAGTCATATATAGCATTCCTTGCAAAGGTTGAGGAGAGTATCAGTCAGTTTTGGTTCCTGTTGGCCTGTATGTCACAAATGCAATTAAAGCCCAGTTTCACTGCTGATATGCTCATGTTGTTCTGGACAAACTAAGATCTCTTACCTACAGACTGCCTTGTAATCTATTGTACTGTTGCCCTGCCTTCCATCAGCCAGTATGTGTATGCAGACTACACAGAGAATACCTCCAAGAAAATTAAAACAATTTTTAAAAATCCTAATGAGAATAATACATTTTTGATATTACATGAAGTTTGGTAAGAGTATTGCTTAATTTGTAAGGGATTAGAACCAGACTTTTCTACACACCGTACCTATGTCTGATTCCATTTCCTATCTCACTAAATCAGAAAAAGAATAGGGGACGATCTCTTGTTCAGCTCTTTCTGTTTGTATTGTGAAAATATTATATTAACTGTTTGCCAGGCAGTTATTTCTCATGACCGAGTTTGAAAGAACACGTGTGCTAGTTACACCCTTTCCTGGACTAGCAATCCCTACTCACAGTCACTCATGCCTTAGTCACTTTCAGTCTTGACTATTGCAATGCGCTGTACATGAGGTTGTCCTTGAAGAGCATCCAGAAGCTCCAGTTGGTGCAAAATGCAGCGGCCCACACGGTTTTCTGCAGACCCCAGTGTGCACATGTATCATCTCTCCTGCGGGGGCTGCATTGGTTGCCGATTTGCTTCTGGGTGCAATTCAAGGTGCTGGTTGTCAACTTTAAAGCCATTCATGGCTTGGGACCAGGTTATCTGAGGGACCATCTCTTGCCAGTCACATCTACCCAACCCATTTGAGTGGGGAGGAAGGAATGCTGTGGGTCCCATCCCGAGGAAGATACACCTGGTGGGACCCAGAAGAAGGGCCTTCTCTGTGGTGGCTTCCTCTCTCTGGAACATCATTCCCTCAGAAATTAGAACAGCCCTCACTCTAATTCTCTTGGGAAGGCACTGAAGACCTGGTTCTGCCAGTGGACCTGGGGAACCCAGAGTGGGATGGATCCCATTAAATGGCTTGTATGATCTGCTGTCGCTGAGGTGGGGGTGGGGGGGTGGGGGTGATTTTATTACATTAATTTATTTGATTTTTTATTAGTTTTACTGTTTTTAAATGTGGTTTTTAAATTCTGTAAGCCGCCTTTAGTCGCCATGGAGGAATAGGCGGCAAAATAAATTTAATTTAAAAAAAATAAATTCTGTTTGGGAGAAGGTGGAGAAACGATGATGCCAAAGAACTGTAACAAACAAGTCCTGAATTCTACAAATCAGAGACACAACAGCAAACTAATACCATACAAAGATGCCTTTCAGCAAGAACATCCCAAGCTTTAATTTCTAGTGTCAAATAATTCTCAATTCTTCAGGATGACCATACTTAAAAAATTGTGGCTTGATTAAAATTTTAATGAACAAAACAGGGTTTATATTCTGAATTGCTGTGAAATTATCAACCAAGGCATGGATCCTTGGTTTTTAGTATCCTCAAAAACTGGCTTGTTTAAAATGAGAAGTGAACCTCAATGAGATGAGAAGAAAAAAAGAGGAAGATGACCTTTCCACGCAAGGGTTACATCAGAAGGGATCATTTAAAGCTGTTTGATAATCACTGGTAATAGTTGTACTAAAACTTTTTAGGCATGTGTTCTTCATAATGGAATAATTTTACATATACCTCGTGTTTAGGTTGCTCAAGAAAAGAAATAACTGAGCATTGGGAATGGCTTGAACAGAATTTACTACAAACTCTTTCTATCTTTGAAAACGAAAATGATATAAACACTTTTGTCAGAGGAAAAATACAGGTATTGTATTTTTTGGTCTGTTCAACATATATGTGACTAGGAAAAGCTAGTATATAATTGTATTTTTTAATCTGATTGTCTTGTGTGTGTGCATTTTTAAAAATACGATTCTAATAACAGTGTAATATTGTTTCCACGATCAGAGTAATCAGCAATGCCAGTATTAAATGATATTCATAGGAAGAGGTTCAAACTGGTATTTTAAACACATGCCAGCTCCACCACAATTTCTAAAATGTTGATGGAGTAATACTGTCCCTTTCACTTACACATACAACCACATGTACCTTATAGAGTTTGATTATCATTTTTCAAAAGCAAATTTGCCATGCAATTTGGCTGTTTCTATGTAGAAGAATGTATCCAGTCTGGTTTAGCAGAGACTAACAAGTTATGAGTAACACGTGGATTTGTACTTTCTCATCCAAAAATTTATTATGTGAAGGATTAATAATGTGAGTCTCTTGAGCTGGATGGCACTCACATGCCTATGAATTATAATTATTTGAGATTTTTCTCAAATTCTTTTATTTCTAAATTAATGGATCAGTATGTGTACATTATGATAAGGATCGTAATTTAAATACTACAAGTGAAATGCAAAGGGTATAGTTGCTTTGAGAATTCCAAGTGGTCCTGTATGATCTACTTCAGGGTATCATCGCAGAGTACAACAAAATCAATGGTATTCGGGAAGATGATGATACGGCTAAATTTAAGGAAGCAACAGTGAAGTTCCATAAATTGTTTGGGATGCCAGAGGAGGAGAAACTTGTGAATTACTATTCCTGCAGTTATTGGAAAGGGAAAGTCCCACGTCAGGGCTGGATGTATCTCAGCATTAACCATCTGTGTTTCTATTCCTTTCTCATGGGTCGAGAAGGTAGGAATGAGTATCTTCTTATGTAATTATTAACAGGTTCATTTATTGATATAAATGTACAGTATATATGATTTAATGTTGTCTTTATTCTCATGTTCAGGAATTGGAGGTAAGAAAATAAGTATTAGAATAACAAGCATAAGGAAAGGTGGTTTAGTAAACTGAAGAAACTACACTGTTATTTCACTGAACATGTTCTTCAATGATGAATATTACCATATATAGTATGTCATACAGAAGGAGCAGTGTACGGTATATATAAAATGCTGAAGCAAAAGAGTTCATTCATACTTAGCTGTCAACATTATTTCCAAAGAATTTTAGGTTTTGCTCCAAGTAACTGCTGATAATTCATGGACATGCATGTATGAACCCTTTTTTATTCATGTTAACATTTTTAAGAGGTTTATAGCTTTGAATTTTATTGACTAATAAGGGTCATTGATATTCTGTCACCAGGATAATTACCTGTATTTTTAGCACCTGAATTATTTAAGACTAGTGGATCTTTATTTAAAATTTATGCTGTATGAACTAATAAGTGCTTAAGTAATTTAATGTTTATATCTTGGTTGCTTTTTTGTTAAGCTTTTTTGGTTTAGTGTACAATTATAAAATGATTTGATTCTTTATCAGATGTGTGTAGCGATAGGTTTTTATCTGTAAAACAATGTAACTACATTTGCCAGTCAGATAGTGTAATAAATATATAGATTTATCAGACACTCATACAGATGGTAGACAAATCCCTTCAACTGATAATTGCATAGTACTAGCAACTCAATCATTTGAAAGCACCAAGACTTTGAGCAAACTTTCAAAGGACTGCACCATAAATCGGTATTTAATTGTAGTACGTATGCGAGTCATTTATAATTATTATAAATTTTTTAGATTTTATCATCTGATTTTTGAATTTGGAACTATTGAATTGTTATTGTTTCTGCTAAAGCTATATTTTTCTTTAATAGCTAAACTTGTCATCCGATGGGTAGATATTACCCAGCTTGAGAAGAATGCAACTCTGTTGTTACCTGATGTGATCAAAGTTAGCACAAGATCCAGTCAGCATTTCTTTTCTGTGTTTCTCAACATCAGTGAAACATTTAAACTAATGGAACAACTTGCTAACATAGCTATGAGGCAACTTTTGGACAATGAAGGCTTTGAGCAGGACAAGTCACTCCCCAGGCTTAAGAAGAAGTCTCCTAAAAAAGTATCTGCCCTAAAACGGTAGGATTTGGAATCAGTTGCTATAGTGCAGCCCAAAGTAAACAACTTGCATGCTGATTTAGCATTATGCTTCAGCCCAGATGTACATTTTTACATGGGTTTCTCTTACTTTAAAGCCCGGGGAGGGATTGGAGGGAGTGTTTTATGGGGAACATCTATGAAATTGAAGGATTTGATTGAAAGAACCAACGTACAACAGCCATTTCCATTTTTCCTCTTTTTATTCAAACTGCCAATAAAACACAGCAAAAGCAGTTTTCATTTCTTCAGCCTCCAGGTTCACAAGAATGGTTTACAGTCATCACATTGCCTACTATTCCATTGGGAGCAGTGTCTTCCCCCTTCACATAAATACTGTTTCAAAAGTATGAGGTCACTTTTCTCTGAACTCTTTCTGCTCTAACCAACTTTAAATGTGTATAAGGATACAGATTATAATACATGTTTAACATAACATTGTTCTTCTTTAACATTGATAATTGGAAGGGGCCACCCCTTTGCTAATGCAATCATAAAGCATGACATCACAGCAGTTCCAGTTGTCATCATTAGGGGAATCCCTTGCCATTGCAGTGTTCTTCAGCGGTCATATGATTGCCATTTGCAACCTCCTGCTGGCTTCCTTATTGACCTGTTGGAAGCTGGCAGTGATGGTTGCAAATGGTGAATACGGGTGGTCCTTGACTTACGACCACAATTGAGCCCAACATTTCTGTTTTTAAGTGAGACACTTGTTAAGTGAATTTTGCCCCATTTTACAACCTTTCATGTCACTGTTGCTAAGTGAATCACTGCAGTTGTTAAGTTAGTGACAAACTTTAGTAAGTTAGTTAAGTGAATCTGGCTTCCCCATTGACTTTGGTTTTCAGAAGGTCACAAAAAGTGATCACATGACCCTGGGATACAGCAACCATCATAAATATGAGTCAGTTGCCAAGAGTCTGAATTTTGATCACATGACCATGGGATGCTGCAGTAGTCGTAAATGTGAAAAATGGTCATAAGACACTTTTTTCAGTGCCGTTGTAACTTTGAACGGTCACTAAATGAACTTGATGTTATGTATGTTATAAGTCAAGAACTACCGGTATGTAACTGTAGAATGCTGCAAGCCATTGTACTTGCAAGCCACTTGCCACGCACCTGAATCATGATCATGTGACTGTAGAGACACTGCGATGGTCACAGCTACAAGGAACAAGCACGTCTCCTCATTCAGCACTGTCATAACATAGAACAGTCACTGAGCAAGTGGTCGCTGAATGAAGACTACCTGTGTTTATTATGCTACCTATCCATCTACCATTCCAGTTTTAGAATTAAGAAAGGGATTATTATTTGTCTTTTTTTTTCCTTTTGCATTCAGTCAAATGAAATAACAGCTGATCTTGATCTGACTGATGATTCTTTCACTCATAAAAACCTTTGGTCTTTTTTTTTCACTATCTTCAACCCCACCATGTATCCTCTGCAATTAGATTAAATCCATGTCAATCCTTTACTTCAATTCTCTCCCTCCAAGATTATGCCCCTGAATGCTTCATGGACTTTAGTCCATTCACAAACTAATGAGTCTTAAGCAATGTAAACCTTGCCTAATCCACTGTATTGATACTAGCTACCTTTTCTCTGGTTTGAAACCAACCGTCTTCTTTTAGCAGCCACTAAAACTTCTCTGTCCATTTTATTAACTATTTTAGTTGCACCCTTCTACTCCATTTCCGAACTGTTTTTTCTTAAATCCTCCATGATCATCTAAAACAAGGGTCAGCATCCTTCTGGCCAGAGGACATGATGCTGCTGCCACCATTTCTGGGGGACGCAGCAAGGTGGCTAATGAAACCCTCTCTAAAATGGCTCCCGGAGGAAGTAGAATGTGTTTTCTCTCTCTTGCCTGGGTTGAGTAAATGTATTTTTGGGATCACAAGCCAGATGATTTTGAGTGGTAGGCCATATCTGGTCCACAAGCAATAGGTTGCTGAACCCAGATTTAAAGACTTCCTCCTTTGTTGATCCATATGTGATCCTTCCTTTCTTCAGTAAGAAGCACTTACTGCTTCTTACTGAAGAAAGGAATTCTAAATTAACACCTTATCTTGGCTTTCAGGAAAGTGAGTATAAATAGTTTTATTTGGGTGTCCAGCAAAAGGCTCATCAGGGTACTCTGCTCAGCTAAAGATACTATATATTTTTTTGATGTCTTCTTTTTTCAGTAGTTGCCAGTAGAATAGTTCTTACTATTGCTAGGACAATTAAGGCCTTTATTGTAAATGCCTGGAGGTAGAGTCAAAACAGAGTACAGTGACTACTTAGACCAGATTATTACAATCTACCCTCCATACATGTCAGGACAATAGCTTGTAGTTCTATGGCTTATAACTCAATTTATTTGTAGGGATTTAGGTAAGAAATTGTTACAAATTTGCTTATGGGTACAGGTAATCCTCACTTACTGACAGTAATTGGGTTAGAGTTAGGGTATAGTATACTACTACTACTACCACAACCGCTACTACAAAATAGCAATAGCACTTAGACTTATATACCACTTCACAGTGCTTTACAGCCCTCTCTAAGCGGTTTACAGAGTCAACATATTGCCCCTAACAATCTGGATTTATTAGAAAGTCTAATAAACATGTTAAAGCAATTTTATACGTTTGTTTTATGCCCTGTTAATATAAGTGTTACTTTTTATATGTAAAATCGTTTTATAAAGAATATACTTTGTTCTTTATTTTTAATGCAAAGGCAAGAACTATATGAGATGTGTACGTGTAATTGGAATATTGTCATTGAAATCTGAAATGCTGTTTTTCAGGGATCTGGATGCCAGGGCAAAAAGTGAAAGGTACCGTGCTTTGTTCCGGCTTCCAAAGGATGAAAAACTAGATGGACATACAGATTGTACTCTGTGGACCCCATTTAATAAAATGCATATTTTGGGTCAAATGTTTGTGTCTACAAATTACATTTGTTTCAATAGCAAAGAAGAAAATCTCTGCAGTCTCATCATCCCACTTTGGGAGGTCAGTACAAAATATGCTGTTTTATTATATTGGGATTACTATGAACGTTCAAGATATCTGATCAAAGCAGGGGCCCAGCCCACAAGCATGGCTTCATCAGTGATACCTGCAGGTTTGTTTGGAATCTTCTCTGGCATTAGAATGTGGTGCTAGGCCCTAATCCAGCTGGTCTCTTCTCCCCTGCTGGTCTGTTTTCGATTTTGTAAAGCTTTTTGCTGCTTGTGTGCCTCTCTTATGGTGGACCTCTCAGGATCTACCACATCCATGAGGTAGCCCATGCACGATTAATGACTCACATATTTGTTTAATGGTGTCATCAGAGAGAGCAGAACGCACGGGTCGTTAAGCAAGGCTGTCTCACTTAACAGTTGTCACCACTTACAACCGTAATTGGCTGGCTCTTATTATGGTTGTATGGTTGTATTACTTGAACGCATGGCTGCTCACTGTTCAGTCAGTAATCCATATATTGTTACCCCACTTATTGTACCACCCATGGCATTACCCAATTGTCACAAATTTAAATTTTAAATTTACCATTGGCAAGATCTAATTTGGGCCAACAAATTGTCATATTTCTTGCAATAGCTGTGACTCTTTTTCAAGAAGAATCTGAACACTGAATTCATGTTTATGGATTCATTTAAAGACATATTATATAACAGAAGATCTCTCTATTTTAGACATACTATTTTATCAATAATTAACAATTATGAATTAACTATTAATATTTAAATTTAAAGTACATCTAAAAACTAGTAAATAATGTTAAAATACAAAGAGTAGACTAAGATGACTATGGAAACAACAAAATATTACATATTTGGATTATTTAATCTTTCCTTATGCAATACTTAAAACAAGTGTGCTGAAAGTTTATAATGCTGCCTGAGTTTCTAGAATTAGCTTCTATAATTCCTGATCACTCATAACAACTTTATAACTTTTTTCAGTATTTAAAAACTGCAATTTTGCTGGTCTGTGACCAAATTAAAGATTCAGTTGATGGAGAACTGCATCAATTCATTTAGACTTTATTTTGGTCCTTCTGTTTTCATGTGTATCATTAGGTGACGATTGTTGAAAAGGCAGATAGCTCAAGCGTCTTACCTAGTCCATTATCTATCAGCACTAAAAACCGAATGACATTCCTCTTTGCCAATTTGAAAGACAGAGACTTTCTAGTGCAGAGAATTTCTGATTTCCTCCAAAAAACTACTTCCAAAATTTATTCTGAAAGAGAGATTTCTGGAAGTTACAACAGTTCAGATGATGAGGTGAGTAGATAGTCACTTTGAGTTTAAATTGATTATATAATTATTAACCCAGGTAAGATGATTACACTAAATCTTCATTTGCACTTTTCCATTCTTTTGTTTTGTTCTAGGCCTTCGGGTTGATCTTGTTTTCTGGTGATTGCCTGTTTTCCTTCTGTTTCTAGTGACTGCAAGTCCCTATTGTTTTCTTGGAAACAGTTTTTGGAAGTGTTTTGTCTTTGCCTTCTTCCTAGGGCTGAGAGAGAGAAAGAGAGAGAGAGTGGCTGAGAGTGGTGGAGAGTCATTCATCTGGATATTTTGTGATAAAGATAGGAATAGAACTCATGGTCTCCATGAGTTTCTATCTTGGTGTTTTTAATAACTACATCAAATTAGCTCTGTGTACTCACCCTACAAACCATGATTTACCATTTTTTATAGATTGGGCTAGGTTTTGTCTTAACATGAGCTAGTTGAATACTAAGGCATATAACTATAAATTCCAAATCATAATATTTGGTTTTGCTTGAAGGATTTTCATGATCAGTCTGTACATTTAATCCAATATAGTAGAGAGCAGAATCTTTCATATTTAATCTCAGCCTTAGAACCATTATTCCATAATACGTATTCCTTCTGTTTAAAAAGACTGTTTTAAGATTAAATCTAAAGAAAAACACTCAAATTCACAAGCTATCATCTTGTTTGAGTCCACAAAATACCAACCATTGAGTTTTGAATATTTACCAGATTACAAATAAAATGCAAGGCAGTAAAATTCAAAGAAGTATACTGGTCAAACGTGTATATAACATAATATTTCTAAAAGCTATTTTGTGTGCATTAAAAATGAATTTAAAACACAGAATTAATCTTTAAAAGATTTAGAGCATTTAAAATGTTTGATCTTCTTAATTACCTGAATGATTTGTTTGCAGATGTCTGGCTCTTTCTGCATGTAGCTGATTTATCAGTAGCTGAAAGTTATAAATACTCTCTCAGTCAGGAAGCCATCAATAAGCCCTCTGTTTCTGCTGTTGTCTCAACAGAACCATAAGCATCTGCCTAGCTTGTGATGCAGTATTTTAAATACAGTTCACAAAGCATGGTGGCAGATTGGAAAGCTTATGAAAGTCTATTTTGAAGTGGAAAATGATCAGAGCATGAGGGTACTTAAAGCAGAGTTCTTACAATATGTAACAGGAGAACATTTAATTCTGTTAGTCTTAAGATGTTCAAGCTTGTCATGGAAATGTCACACTAACAGTGTTTTCAATTTGGTGGTTAAGTTGAACCATGATCCTTTTATTCCAGTTGTCACTGATAACTGTAGTTCACATATTTTGTTAGAGAACTATTAGCTAACTTGTTTGGTTAAAATCAATTCAGCACTGAATTCAAAGAAACCTGCGCTAGATCTCACTTCTAAATAGTTTTATAAGTAGTGAGTCATTCATAGCAATCAGTGGCATAAAGCATTTGCAACATCACAAAATGGTATTCATTGACTTCCAAAATAATTTTAAAATATTTTAATGCGCCTATTTGTTATGAGATGGAAAACTTGCAACATTTCCAGCTTTCCTCAAATTTTAGCTATTTTAAAGTTTTGTCCAATTATTTATTTTGTAATGTTTATTTTATTTTTATGGCATCCACAATGCAATACGGTGGTGTCTTCCACCTGAAAGGTGGCTGAACCTTTTAATTTATAAGTCTTTTTTCCCCCCTCCACACCTATTATCTTACAATTTCATGCAGTTTAAATAGAAATCAGAAGAAACAATAAGTGCCTGTCATTTACTACAATTACCTTTTCTGAAAATTCCAATTGGACTGAAGTGTTCATTTATTTGCTTATTTGCTTATTATTAACATAAGTTGTTGGAAAACCGTAAGGTGGGGAAAAAAATTCTTAAACATTCTTGTTCTAGCTTTTTTGGCTTTTTGATGGTCTTGGTTGTTCCCACAATTTTCCTCCCCCAATTGTTTTCAGGATCATAAGTGGATATGTAATTTAAATACTATAGGATGCCAGAAAAGAAACAATTAGAAGAAAGTATGGCATTACTTTCCCTAACAAGCTAAGAAACAATAAGGTTGTGAGAATTTGTTGGGCCAATCCTCTATATCAGGATTCCCCAACCCTTGGTCCATGGACTGGCACCGGTCCACAGCATACCAGAAACTGGGCCATGCAAACAAGTGAAGCCCATCCACAAGATGCAGGCAGTAATGAAACCACGCCCCCTCTGGTCCATGGAAAAACCTCTCTCCACAGAACCGGTCCCTGGGGACTGCTGCTCTATATCAATTACAGTATGTTTCATAAATACAGTGGCACTCAGAAAGGAGGTGTGGGGGGGGGGGGAAGATATTCTGCTGCAAATTGTTCCACTGCAGAGCAAAATTTTTTGCAAGATTACCATAACTTCATTGCTCTTATAATTTGTTATTTGGAGAATGTTTCTGAATATTTAATTTTTAAGAACAATTTACAGTAGAGTTATTATGATATAGCGGTACTGTATATTAGAAAATGTTCAAAAAATATTTTATGAGAGGATTAAATATTTTACTTAAAGGGAGAATGTGTGTTTCTTCAAGCTTTGTTTTAATGCCAGAACTTCAGTGCTGAAATCCTCTTTCTGCAGTTTATCTGATCCTCAGTGATTTTATATGGATCCATATTTATAAGCAATTACTGTGCAGACCTCTTAATTTGGATTAAATGCTGCCAGCAGCTGATACACAGGGTGGAGGGGCAGCCTTCCTGCTTTTGGGCTTCAAACACATTTGGCAAAAGTGCACTTTTTCTGCCGCAGTGCCTTTCATCCTCAGCTGCTTGAATTACTCAGGCTCAGCACTAAAAGTGGGAGGAAGGAGGGATGGGCAGTGTGATAAAAATATGAGCTAAACTGTTTCCTACCTTAAAGCTTTTAAAACGTGGGCACTATTATCCTAGCACAAGTCCAATATTGGTCCTCATGTTTTGGTTCTGTCCTTTCCTGAGCACTCTATGAAGTATGTGGGCTCCCCATAACCAGCCTTCCTCCCCAGTTTCTAATTACATGAAGAGACTGAAGAAGTAGCAGTGTTTATCCTTGAGAAGAGAAGAGCAATAAAGGATATGGTATCACTCTTAAAATTTTTGACAGGCTTTCACAGAGGAAAGCTCAAGATCTATTCTTTTTCATGTCAGAATGAAAGACATGGAATCATGAATATAGGAATAGAATAGAATAGAATAGAATAGAATAGAATAGAATAGAATAGAATAGAATAGAATAGAATGAATAGAATAGAATAGAATAGAATAGAATAGAATAGAATAGAATAGAATTCGAACACACAAGGAATTTGTGTGAGAAGATACACATAAAGGAGAAGATACATTCGTCAAGAATCATAAGGTACAACACTTACTGATAGTCATAGGGTACAAATAAGCAATCAAATCATATTAGGAAACAGTCAGTATAAATCGTAAAGATACCAGCAACAAGGTTACAATCATACAATCATAAGTGGGAGGAGATGGGTGATAGGAACGATGAGAAGATTAATAGTAGTGCAGACTTAGTAACTAGTTTGACAGTGTTGAGGGAATTATTTGTTTACAGAGTGATGGTGTTTGGGGAAAAAAGTTACAGGAATGCAAATGTAAATTGTGTTCCTGCATTCAGACATATATTAGCTGTTTGTCAGGGATGCTTTAATTTGGAATCCTGTACCAAGCAGGAGTTAAAATGCTGTGTGATTCCCTTCAGGTTTATTCAAGAGCAAGTAGCGTCCTTTCATCCAGTCCTCAGAGAAGTCTGAACTCTGAAGTGGATGGAGACCAGCACTTCAACTTGAATGGAAACAGTGTCCCAACTGTAACACAGGCCCTAATGACTATGTATCGTCGGCGTTCTCCAGAGGAATTCAACCCTAAATTAGTAGGCTGATTATTATTATTTATTTTTGCTCTTAGTTATATAGCAAAAATACTGTCCTTGCACATTTTAAAATATGTGAATGTAAATTATATCCACACCACTTTTGAAAAATATTTAACATCTTAATTAATTTAAACTTTGTAATATAATATCTGCCTATTTAATACTTTGAAGAATTAAAACATAACTTTACTACAAGTGAAAAAAATAAGATATATCATTGACAAAAATCTATTTCATTGTTCTCTAAATTATTTATGTGCTTTTATTATGGCAAGAATGATGTTGTCCAGTGATGGTGAAAGTATCTTTTGGTTGAAAAAGATTATCGCAAGTAATTGTCCCTGAGATTATTTCCATCACCTGTATCGTCAACTTGCATAGAGTTAATTAATTATGTGGCATCAAAAATGTTTTGTTTGATCAAATAAATATGCTTTTGAAATTAACACACCAAGAAAGCTTTATTATAAGACTAGTCAGATATACCATCCCCAAATAAAATTAAGGAACATAATTAAATGTCAGGATGAGAAGAGTTATTTCATTATATTTGGACACAAGATAAATAGATTTTATTACACAGCATGGGTTTCCCTGTGTGTTTTATGCTGTCATATCTATTACTTTTAAGGCAAAAGAATTTTTGAAAGAAGAAGCTTGGAAAATGCATTTTGCTGAGTATGGCCAAGGTATCTGTATGTATCGTACAGAGAAAACAAGAGACCTTGCATTAAAAGGTATTCCTGAAAACATGAGAGGAGAACTCTGGCTGCTCTTGTCAGGTAGGTGTCAGTAGGTAATATACCTCTAGAAGGTTTTATCAGCAATTGGTTTACTTGCTCCTGGAGAATTCATCATGTACAAAGTAGGAGATCCAAATGTTGGCTGCAAGCAAGTAATAGTTGCATTGCTAAGCGTTTTTATTCAGGAGAACATTTCTCTGATTTCATCAGAATTAATTTGGTGATACCAAAGGTGCTTTTTTCAAGAGACAACTGGACTTTCTTGTTTTTCTTTGAAGATGTTTCACTTCAGATCCAAGAAGCTTTTTCAGTTCTGACTGGATGGTGGGGAATGTAAGGATTTATACTCCTTACAGACGTTTGCATTCTGTTAGTGAGACGTTAAGGCCACCTGGAGATTTATCTGTGTCATTAAGGTCACCTGACTGGTGCAAATGGGTGTGGAGCCTTCTTGGAACTGTTGAAAAGACTGTGTTGTAGACTGGCGATAGATGATGTCGTATCCCACCCCCTCTGTTGAGAGAGGTCTGTTCAGTTTTGACATAGATGGCTTCTTTGACCCCTCTTTCAAACCAGTGGTCCTCTCTGCCCAAAGTGTGGACTTTGCTGTCTTCAAAAGCTTCTTGGATAAGAAGCGAAACATCTTCAAAGAAAAACAAGAAAGTCCAGTTGGCTCTTGAAAAAAGCACCTTTGGGACAACCATGACCTGGATGACTGGAAATCTCCATAGAGAGATAATTTGGTGATAGATTTGTTTAGAAATAAATAGAGATAGAAATAGAGATACAGAATCTAAATAATTAATTACTTTAAAATGTTAAGATCCCCCCTTCCCAAATTATGGAATGAGTAGTGTAATTTAAGGCTCTGGATAAACTTTGTAGACTATCAAGAGAAAAGCACACCTCTTAATATGTGTTTACATTGGCTGTTGAAGTAGAGCTTCACTGTCACCTTTAAATGAATTCATATATACATATACATGTACACAATATGCACTTCCACATTAGTGTGTTTAGTGTGTTTGTGGGATATTTTGGTTCATTTGGAATAAATATTGTCAACCAACAAACTTATCTTGGGAAAATAAACAGATGCCAATTCACTGGTAAACCAAGTATCTGGCAATAGTTAATCAAAATGTAGGATTTTAATTAAAAGATTGCCTTTTCATAAAGTTGCCCCCCCAAAAAACACTTTAGATGCACCCAGAATTTTGGATATATAACCTTTTTAAAAACTTTATATGATTAGCGTCCTTTCATAAGATACAGAGTGTTTCTGTTACAGCTTTAAAATGTGGGTGTGTGTCAAATAATGAATTATATATTCCTAAAAGTCAGCCGATCTCTTGAACATGAGAATGATCTGTGCAGTTAATTGGTTTTTTTACAATTTTTAATTAAGTTATAAAGTATTATAAAATGCAAAATGCAAAAGCAAATAAAAAAGTAGTGAGAGGGAAGGGAAAGGGGAAAGAGAAGTGAGGAAAGGTAGGGGGAAAAAAGAAAAAGAAGCATTGATTTCCAACTCTCTCTGTTACAGTAGAATTTAACATCATTATCACAGCTTTTTGTTTTTCCATAATAATATGAAGAAGTCATTTCTATAAAGATCTATCAATCTAATCTATAAAACCCAAAGTCAAAGTTCCATTCTTTTCCACATCAAGCACGAAATTCAGAAGTGGTTTCCGTGTGGAAAGAAAAGTACTTGATCTGTACAGTTAATTTGATTCTTGTCTTACATCTATAATCTCTCTCTCTATATATATATAAATATATATATATACTGAATATTTGTCAATGTCCTCATTTGCATTTCTAGGAGCAATTAATGAAATGGTTACCCATGCTGGCTATTATGAAGACCTGGTGGAGAAATCTATGGGGAAATACAATCTTGCAACAGAAGAGATTGAGCGAGATTTGCATCGCTCTCTTCCAGAGCATCCAGCCTTCCAGAATGAGATGGGTATTGCGGCTCTGCGGCGAGTCCTAACTGCATATGCATTTAGAAATCCAAACATAGGATACTGCCAGGTATCATAAAATAGATTCTTTCACTCATTCTAATGCTTTTATTGTTTAGTTCAGTGCTTTTTAACCTTGACAACTTTAAGATGGGTCTTAAAGTTGTCAAGGTTGAGAAACACTGGTTTAGTTGAATTTTTAGCTGAGGACAGATCTTGAAAATTCAGATTGTCTGTATAATACTGATGCATGCTAGCTAATTTAGATACAAATTCATAATCCATACATCTGCAGCGTTGCTAAGAAATATACCATTGATAGTAGACTTTGATTCAGGAGGATGGGCTTCACGAAGGCAACACATCTTTGTATAAGTATATATAACATCCAAAATACTTTTTATTCCCAACAGACTGTGCTGTGGGATTTAGAGAAAACTGATAAAAGAAAAAACATGCATTCAGTTTTTGCATATTGCTTCATTGTTGTCTCTGCATAATGGATCTTTTTTGTAATATGTTACTTTGCAAGTTTTCAAGGAGCCCTGTGGATAACAAAACACATGATATTGAAGTGTTTAACAATGATTTAATTCCCCAGTGAAAAGGGCTGTATTGAGGTTTGCTGGAAGAGGTTACAGAAAATTTAAACTTTGCCTGGCTTGGCACTTTATCTAGATCTAGTGTCTCAAACTCAAAGCTTCAGAAGTGTTGCATTAGCTTTATTAGTACTTTAGCTTGAGGGCCACAGCACTAAAGCTTTTTAATAGATAGATATAAAATTCTGTAGGAAATTTAAAAGATGCAGTTATCTTTGGTCAATACCCCATTATTCCACAAGCTGCAGTGTTGCTCAGTTGCAATTTCTGTTTTCTATTTTTTTCCCCCAATTAGTGTTGTGATTTGTGCTAAGAATGACTGGCTGAAAGTAAGTTTTCTTGTCTGAGAGCGAATTAGAACCTGACTTTCCACAATTCTCATCTAATGCCTAAATCTTCCATTACAACACCTTGCTATCACGGTGGTCCATTAAACTTAGATATAGTAAATGCATTAGTTTTACAAACAGATCTATCTGTGAAAGCTGCAAAGAGGCCATATCACTTCTGCTACTGAAGTTGTAACATTTTTCATTAACCAGAATAGTATTATATTGACTATTTTTTTCAAGGTCATAAATAGGATAATATAATCTAGAAAATCATCCCTGTTTATAGCTGCCCAAAGCCTCTTTTCCTTTTCCTTTTCTATTCTTGCTGAGTAGAGAGATCTTCCTTAATTCTTTTTCTTATTCTCTTCTCTCCTTGCCTGGCTGAATCTTTCCTCTTTCTTTCTTTCCTTTGCCTATCAGAGAATCTTTGCTTGGTTGTGCCTGTCTATCCCATTACTTGCTCAGCAAAGAGGATCACATGGGAAGGTGCTCATGCGCCTCATGCCAAACCCTGCCTCTTTCCCTTCCCAGGGAACCTCAACTTCCTAGTCAGTCATTCCTGAGCAAATCTCACTTCCTACTGCCTGAGAGTCCAGCTCAGGGGTTGGCTTCAAAAATTATAGCAAGGGGTTCTCTGCCTGGTTGCTGGCTGGGCATGGACATGGTGGGCATGGCCTAGTCGGCCTCTTGCACCACAGCAGGGAGGGCGTTTTTGCCCTCCCCGGGCTCCGGAGGCTTTACTTGAGCCTCTGGGAGGTCGAAAACGGCCTCCCCAGGCTTTGGAGGCCCTCTGGAAGTTTCTGAACTTCCGCTAGGCCTGTTTTTCACCCTCCCCAAGCCTCCGCACGTGCCCTGCACTTACCTGCATCCAAAACGGGCCACTTGAGGACCGGGATGGGGAGGGCCAGCCAGGAGTTGGGATTTGGGGATTCTCCGAACTGCACAGAATTTTAGCTAGAGGTTCTCTGAAACCCCTGCGAACCCCAGCAGCCCACCCCTGGTCCAGCCCCACTACAGAGTGAAAGACTAGACAAGAGTTCCCATGTGATGCCATTGTTCATTGTGAGAGGTCATTGTTCATTGTGAGAGGTCTTGTGCACCAAGGGCATGGTTCAGTCAGCCAGGCCCAGTTGTTGCTAACACTTGCTGTGGTTGGGCAGTGGTGAACTGGTAAACTGACACTGCCAGGCTACTCGATTTTTTGGATAATTTTCTGTGCCTTAATCTGGTGTCCCTGGTCATGTTGGGCAGGCCTTTAGCTCTCACAAACTATGATTTTAGGCTACAGAAAATAACTTAAAGGACTGCATGTTTCAGTCCCCTGAGCTATAGGATTGATTAGACAGTACATATCAGTTATATAATAACAATTCTGGGTAGTCTTGTGATCCAGGAAACAGATGTTTTAAAATAGAAATTACATCTATTGGAAGAATGTGGGGAGCAACCAGTGGGTCACCTTATTCACAACAGCAGATCTGAAATATTTCTATCATAGGGCATTTTAAAATGTTAAGACTACCTTAACTCTAACATATATTTTCTTGGACATATGTGGGCATTGTTTGAGCCCCCCAAAATACTCAGCTGCTTTAAAGGGCATCTGGCAGATAGGAAGAGCTGTTCACACTGAATTGAAAGTGCTTTTTCCCCAACATTGCATATCACTTGTATCTTGCAATACAAGTCTAATGTCTAATGGAGGAAGCTCTTTTTCAGGATTCCAGTCAGCCATGTATTCCTGGAAGGATCTTGAAATCTATATTATCTCCTCTCCTTTCTTATTTTCTTTTCTGACCAGTACCTAACATTCTGTTACTACTGAATATGCTTTGTCTCCAGGAGGCAGTTTCTGTGAGTTACCATCTTTATTATTTTATTTTATATTTTATAAATTTAATTTAATTTTTACTCTGGTTCCCTTGAACCGGAGCCTGCTGATACTACCATCCCATTTCTCCACAGCCTGTTTAGATGAATGGCCCTCAATACTTGAAAGTTGTCCTGTTAGAAAGATTAACATTGGAATAATAGAGTGCTTTACAACTGGCACTTAGAAAATAAAAACTGTGGAGTCCATGGTGCCCTCTGAGCTTGATCGTTTGATTGCAGACATTAGGTAACCAGCAAATCAATAAGATATTTTTCCTATTCATGTTTTATCATCCCCCTCTAGCCTTTTAAAATTAGAGTGAATCCCTCCCGTGATTTTCCTGTGAGAATGAATGTTGGAGACTCTTTTGTTTTAAGTCTCATGGGAAATATTTTTTTGCAATCTTAAGTCATAGCAAGTTGCTCCTCATGTCTGTTGCTAGACAGAATCTGTTAAAAAATGTATCAAATTAGATAACACTGTGTCTTAATTATTTTTTAGGCCATGAATATTGTTACGTCAGTCCTGCTTTTGTATGCAAAGGAAGAGGAAGCATTTTGGCTGTTGGTGGCTTTATGTGAGCGCATGCTGCCAGATTACTACAACACAAGAGTTGTTGGTATGTTAATAGAACTAATATTTGAGAAATTATTTAAAACTATCAAAAAGTTAAATTTGAGCTGCAGGTTTGGATGCTTGAATCCATTGATATGGAATAATACTAGAGCTAGTTAAGTACGTAGTGATCTGTTACATTTTTTTGCTTTCTTATTTCATATCACAGCCAAATATAAGGTACATGTATTTTGTTTCTAGTGTGTAAAATAAATCCATGTTTTTTATAAACTGCAGATATTGCTAAAGTTGTGGTGATTGCCTGGTTACTTAAATTGGAAAATAATTATTTAAATAGTTATTAATTAATTAATTAATAACAGTATTTTTTTATTTACAGTTATGCAAATCAGATAGCAAGTTAATGCATGTTTTTTAAAAGGCCTGTTTTCTGAATGAGAAAATAGTGTAGTTTATAGGAAGACAACCTCTTGTCCACAAGATGATTTGGGCTAGAATAGTTTTCACAATTGTTCCATTAGTGGGTTTCACATTTTTTTACTACCAGTTCTGTGGGCATGGCTTGGGGTGGCATGGCTTGGTGGACGTGACTTGGTGGGCATAGCAGGGGAAGGTTACTGTAAAATCCCCATTTCCTCCCGATCAGCTGGGATTTGGGAGGCAGAGAATAGATGGGGGTGGGGCCAGTCAGAATTTTTACTACTGGTTCTCCAAACTACTCAAAATTTCCGCTACCGGTTCTCCAGAACTGGTCAGAACCTGCTGAAACCCACCTCTGAATTGTTCCCATTGGTCATGTTGACTGAGGCAGATGGCAGACGAAATTCAAAACACCTACCGTAAGTGGACCACCTCAGTCCAATTCAACATGCATTAACTGGAAAATGCTTCTACTTTTGTTTTCTTGGATGGGCGTGAAATACATATTCTGTTGACTCCAGTTTCGCTTAACAAATACTTGATTATGCCTTACAGGTGCTCTGGTGGATCAAGGTGTGTTTGAAGAATTAGCTCGGGATTATATCCCACAACTCTATGACTGCATGCAGGATTTGGGAGTCATCTCAACCATCTCTCTTTCATGGTTCCTCACGCTCTTCCTCAGTGTAATGCCTTTTGAAAGTGCTGTAGTGGTGGTAGATTGTTTCTTCTATGAGGGTATAAAGGTGATATTCCAATTAGCACTAGCTGTGCTAGATGCAAATGTAGAGAAGTTGCTGAACTGTAAAGATGATGGTGAAGCTATGACTGTGTTGGGAAGGTAAGTACTCTAATTGCAGATTTTCCTTCCATTCAATTACATTCAGAGCAAGTCACTTCCCCCCTCCTTCAAATTAGTAATTTTGCATTGCCAGAAGCTTTTCATATAACACAGTTTAGCTCTTAGCTCTTAAGTGGAACCTTTTGGTTTTTAATGTCCTTTCTTACTAATTAGTCTCTGCTAGCCACTTTATTTGAGTGTTTGTTTTCTTTTATTCTTTTGTAACTTGATTTAATTATAAGAGGCAGTTTCTATAGAGCTAAGTAATTCCTTTAGTGCAGCATTGTCCTTAGTGGCTGCAAGTAATGCCCAAAGCGAAGTCTTGCCCAGCCTTTTGGCTAGAGGTTTTAGAAGAAAAAATTCCTGGGATTTCATACATGCAGAGCAGAACTCAAATATACCTCCTTCAAATGAGTAAACTATGTCTTTCTTTATCTTTTTGAACAATTGTGGCTTCTGTTGTATTTAGTAGAAGATTTAATCACACATAGGCACCTATCACTGTCTCAAGTTTCAGCTATCTGTGCATCACTCTGGAATGGTTTAAACCAGAAAGCTATTTAAATGTTTTAAAAGCTTCAGCACTGACTTTTCATGTGACTGTCTAAAAATAAAGCATTTGTTGATATTTTGTTTCTTGAACCACGAGTACGTGTCAATACACTGCATATATTTCCAAAATGATAGAATACTGGCAACAATATTTAGCTTGCAGGGAAATCCCTTCGTGTAGATTAGACATACTTAGAGTAAAATTGGCCTGTTATTACCAACCTGGCCCAAATCAGCTCAAACTAACTGCTACTGTCCTTATTGTTAGCAGGGAATGTTGTGGTTAGATATGACAAAGGCACTTTCTCTGTCTGTTTACAAAGTGTTGGAGAAAGCTTTGGTTGAACAAATCCATGATGGTTGATGGAAGCCTGTATTTGTAGCCCATATTGACCATGGCATATGGAAGACTGTGATTTGAAATACAAGAGGATTAAATGAGCATGAAGTGACAAAGAAAAATAGATACGCATTTGTTTTACAAATGAAGAGGAAGGAAAATATAATAGATCTGAATGAAATTGGTGAACACTGCTTGATGACATAATAGATGGGAAGAAGATGAGAGACTGCATAAAAGTAACTAGGTCTTTTGGAAATCCAAGAATGAATGATGAGTAGGGACTGCATAGAAGAAGTCCTGTTTGTTCTGAATATATAATTTAAATATGACAAAGGAATGAAAACAAATATAAAAGCCTAATTGATGTGATTATTTATTTAAAGAATTGAGAGAATAAGTGAAGCTAGAATATTGATTTGAAAATAAATATATCAGCGACCAAAGTAATTGCAATTGACAGTGACAAGTTGGAGTGAACAACTTGTATGTTAATGGTAAAAGGCTAATTAAAGATGCAGACATGAATACAGAAATGTTAAGATATTTAAGTGTTGATAGAATATTAGCAAATAGCATGTGGTTTGGAATGAACATTTGTCAAAATAGGCAAAATGATGGACCAAATTTTTTTTTGTTTACTTTGTTAAATGGCAGCAAGAGTGGTATAGATTAAGGGAAACAGAAAAGTAAGCTTCATGTGATGGGAATGAGTTAATAGTTAAGTAATATGTGGTAGGAAGGAATAGAATCAAAAATGAACTAGTGTTTGACTAATACAAAGTATACTGAAGTGGCTGGTTATATAAGAAGAATATATTAGTAAAAATGAAATAAGAAAGAAAGTTAATGAAGAAAATAGGAAGGAGGTAGAGTTGGGTTTATAATTAACTGTAGTACTTTTTATTGTTCGTTCATTTTAAATTCTTCAGTCTACAATTACTTGTTCTGTTTCTCCACTGCGTATAATGTTTACCACAAAAGAAAACAGTGATTGGTATACATGTACCTTCCTTACTTTGCCCATTTTTCTTACTTTACATTTTTCCTTGCTTTACGTTTTTCTCCTCCTCTTCACTACCTCCTTCCATCATAGGATTCAAACATCATTCAGGTGCAACCATAATGTGTATTATAAAGGTAATACTGTAGTAATAATGCTCATTTTATAGAACTGGTACAAGAATAAATACAGTGACTTTTGTGAAACCTTTAAAATGAAAAACATTTTAAAATACTCTAATGTATTTTCAACTTTTTGCAGTATGCCTGTGTGAATAAATGTATGAGAAATTGGAAGTGGAATATCATGTACTTTTACATTTGAATTAAAATGTGGTATATTATTGTTTATATAATTATTTCTTGCCACCTGTAGGTATTTAGACAGCGTGACCAACAAAGACAGCACATTGCCGCCAATTCCTCATCTTCATTCACTACTGAGTGATGACATAGGGCCTTATCCTGAAGTAGATATATTTAGGCTCATCAGAACTTCCTATGAGGTAATTTCATGAACATATTGGTAATTAAACATAAGTAGGAAAAAATACACCCACCAAGCAAATGATTTGTCAGATTCTAACTCCCTCCTCCCTAATCCTTTGTCCTCCAAGATGTGTTGGAATGTCATTGTTGTTATCTAATCTGGCTAGGAATTCTGAGACCTATTCTGTGTTTCCAACACATGGAAATGAAGTTGGGAAAGCTGTTCAACACAGAAAGAACAGGAATTACTTTTGAATTATACATAGACAATCCATAACCTTTAAGAGGTATTTCCTTACCTGAAGATATAAACAAACTGACCATGGGTGAGGGAAAAAGCAGAGGTAGTTGAAATGAGTTCTAGTTCCCTGTTGGCTTTCCCATTGCTTTTTTGTAGGCAGCTGGCAGAGAGTGTTGAAAAATCACTATTACTTAGCTGTGCCAATGCTGCAGTAGCCACAGCTTTGAAAATACAACTGCTGTAAAGATCCTTAAAATTTCAATTATGTGGGAATAATGTACCCAGATTTTGTATGGATTCTTTTAAGTTGGCAGATTTGAGGTACTTTAATTCAAAAATTTGTGTATTATGATGCGTTGTTTGGGTTAATGGAAGATTTCAAACAGACAAACAAAAAGGAGAGTTTTAGTAGTATACAGATACTAAATTCCTTTATCTGGATGAAATCACTGTTGAAATTAATGGCATGCATTCTTGAATATAGGATTGCATTGCAAATGATTGCAGGGTTTTTTTATTTATTTATTTACTTATTTATTTATTTATATCCCATCATTATTATTTTTACAAATAACAGGGCGGTGAACATATCCAACATATCTTCCTTCACCTATTTTCCTCACAACAACCACCCCATTAATGGGTTGGACTGAGAGTGACTGTCCAAAGTCACCCAGTTGGCTTTCATGATAAAACAGGACTTGAGCTTGCTGCTTTTTAGCCTGGTGCCTTAACCAATACACCAAATTGGCTCTCTGACAACTGGCTTGTCTCAATTGATACATAAATAGAAGGGCAACACCAATGAGGATTATCCGTGTATGATCATTTCAATGGAAGTTGAGTTTCCATGATACTAAAAAGGCACAATAGCACAGATGAGCACATATAAGGCTAATTATTTTCTAACTATATTTAGTACGTATGTAATCTATGCATTAGTGGCTTTAAATATGTGATAGATTTACATCTAAAAGTGAATTGTGAACCTCCTCTGCGTATCTTCCTCCTTCCATATCTTATCCTTATGGAAGAACAATAGCAATAATAATAATATTGCAGTGTATATTTTTGTGGCTTTTTGTGGTCTCTTATTCACTCATTTAGAAGACATAGTAGAGGGTTAAAGAGATCCACTGCCTAATCTGTACTTTTGGTAGAGATTTTTGCACTTGCAACAGAATGACCTTGAAATACTGACCTCTTGTATCCTTGCTCCACTCCTTTTCTAGCTGAAGAAAAGAAGTAGACAAGATCTATCTATGTATCTATCTATCTATCTATCTATCTATCTATCTATCTATCTATCTATCTATCTACTTACCTACCTACCTACCTACCTACCTACCTACCTATCTATCCTCCCCCACTCTGTCCCTGCTACAAATTTATGAAGTTGTGATCTCTGGGATATGCATCTAGAATCTAAACGCTTTTAGGACTGAAATGTTTAAAATATATTGAAATTCTGCCTAATTAATTTTGTCTTAGATATATGACCTTAGTATTGCCACTAAAATTTCCTGTCCTTTTCTCTTTATATGATTATTTTTCTGGCACATCAGAATATATATTTTAATTTGCTATTTAAAAAAGGAAGATGTAACCCCTGATTTTACATTTAGTCATACCTTTAGTCACATCTTAGATACTTTATTTAGGCAATGTCTAAGTGAAATTGTCTTTTAGTGTATTTTGTATCTTAAATTTTGCAGGAAGAATGAATGTAATTTTTTTCCTATTAGAAATTTGGCACCATTAGAGCAGATTTGATTGAACAAATGAGATTCAAACAAAGGTTAAAGGTCATTCAAACACTAGAAGATACTACTAAACGAAATGTGGTAAGTTCTTGGGAGTTTTGTTCTTTGAATTTAAATATTAAAGATAAGTACATGTGTTTAAAGTTTCCCCTTTTCATATTTTGAAGGTACGAACCATAGTAACTGAAACTTCATTTACAATAGATGAGCTGGAAGAACTTTATGCCCTTTTCAAGGTAACCTTCAAATAACTGTCTTGTATCTATGTTATTTATAGCAGATACCACACTTCCTTTTTCTTACTAAGTACTACTTCTCAATTTAATAGTTTCTAAACTAATTTAAAGAGACCAAAATGTGCTAGTGAGAAAATGTTTAATTTAAAAAGCAGAACGTTTTCATTTCCCTTTAATGTACAAGGATATGGTATTTAAATTACACTTTAAAATGAGTGAAATGCTTATCAGGATAACAAATGTAACTGTTGTTATGTAGACAATCTTTTTGTGATCATAATCAATAAAACACAGGGATCCCAATTAATTGTTTTCACCCTGAAAAATTATCATAGCTGCACACTTGCTGTAAAACCAGATTTGAAGTTACAGATTAAATTGTATCCAGAATACTCACTGGACTTGGAGATTCAACTTTCTTTTAAATCATGTACTATAGTAAATCTCAAACAATAATATATCTGAGACAAATGGCAATTTTCTCTGTCTGTTTAAAAAGGCAGATATAAATACAATCTATAACCAGAAACAGATATTTTGTTGTTTACATGTATAAACTATTATTCCTCTAGGCTTTCTAGGCAACATTTTTTAAGCCATCTGTGATTACTGAGAGTGAGCTGGGTGGCCATATAAATTTTCTTAAATAAATAAAATAAATAAACGTACAATGAACTTTCTTTCAGAGTATATTCATAGTAACATCCCTGTGAGATCAACTAGGCTAAGGGATAGTAACAGGTGCAAAGTAATCCAGTGAGTTCCATACTCAGATGGGAATTTGAACTTGGATCTTTCCATTCCAGACTAACATTTTAGTGCTGTGTAACTTGGGCTTCTAGATTACACCTTGTTCCAGGTGTATGAAGTGACACCAGTCAATGAATAGGAGGACAACAGTTTTGGAACTTAATAACAGAAAGGCCTGTGATGGTAGAAATATGTAGGTAGAAACATTTCTGGATGGAGTTTTATTCTATTTCTGTGTCTATATTTACTTCCAAGAACTGTGACACTGAGTGAATTAATAGTGTAACTAGAACTTGCTTATAACAATTCTAATACCAGGCAATATGAAAAACATTTTTATATTAAGATGTTTTTAAGCTTCATAAACTGTGATGGGAGAAGGTGCTGCTGAAATAATTATAGAGATTATAATAATTTCACATACCTTATTTTTCTATCAGGCAGAACATCTCACTAGCTGCTACTGGGGAGGCACCAGCAATGCTACTGACCGTCATGATCCAAGCTTGCCTTATTTGGAACAGTACCGCATAGACTTTGAGCAGTTCAAAGGGATGTTTACTCTTCTCTTTCCTTGGGCATGTGGAACTCATTCTGATGTTCTAGCTGCACGCTTGTTCCGATTGCTGGATGAAAACGGCGATTCCTTAATTAATTTCCGGGAATTTGTCTCTGGACTTAGTAAGAACAAAACTGCTTATCTAATGGCATTTGGCTCTTTTTTTATCACCATTAACTATAAAATTATTTTATTGAAAAAAGTTTTCAAATACAAATTTTTCCCCCTTTTTTTTCCCCTCTCCCTCCCCCTCCCTAACCCCCCCTCCCCACCCATCCCCCCCCTGTGACTTCTTCATAACAAAAAAAAAAAACCTAATTCATAACAGCTTACTTACTCCCTCCTCTAGATATTGACCTTTACTTACTAAAAATATTATTAATATTATAACATCCCCCTTTATCCATACATTTCAGAAAAGAGAAAAGAAAGGAAAAAAAAAAGACATTATACTATGACATTATAGAATAACTTCTCCACTTTAAAACTATACGATAAGTCCTACTTTAACATTTAATCTTCTATATATATTACTATAACATTTCAAAGTGGCCTTCCCCATAAAATCTAGTTTAACATTTATTCCACTCTATCCATTTCCTCCACTCCCCTAAATATATCAGTTAAAAATCCCTTTTCTTAGACTAATCAATCTACTAACTAGCTTATTCACCCACTATCATGCAAAATTACCATACACAACATTTCTTAATATCTTTGATTCACTGCCCACACTACTTAAAAATATATGTCTATATTTTCCATTATATCTAAATAAAAAAAAAGAAAAGACAATGACTTTAAATTTATAATCCATATAGTATCTTCTTTGAGGTCTTTCCACTGGATTGGTAGAACCAACATCCATAATCGGGTAACATAGCTTGCTGGTGCAACAGTTTATTCAGGATCTTCAATCATATCTGCCCCCATCAGTAGTAAATATCTTCTTATATGTATAAAAGTAAAAACAACCACCGGAGTGACATTATAATTATATTCCATATAGTAATAATTGTGGGTTTCATCAGGATTATTAATTCCCATCATCGTAGTGGGTAACAACCCGATCTTCTGCATGCCCCAGCATAATTCTCTTGCCTTGTGATTCAAGATAATATAATATGTTTATCAACACAAAAAGAAATTCCAAATGGATAATTCAAATCTATCAGTTTAAGGCTCGTTTCACATCCCCAGATTACGGCCATGCAGAGATCTGCCACAATCCTCAGGATGATATTAACCAATACGTCGCCTCTTGTGTGTTTACACATAATCATTCATATTTTAAAGTCACTGGCTTCACTGTTGCCTAATTTAGAAATTTCTATTTTTATGCCACCTATTTCTTTTTTTCTTTTCTTTTTGTGGGTTTGGTTTCCATCCTGGTTTCCTTTCTACAAATTGTGTATCATCTGGTCGGTTTTTATTCTGCTTTGTAGATTGGTCTTGTTGGTTTTGTTTTTGTATCTCATGTTTCTTTTTTATCCCTTGTATATCCCCTAATTGGTTTCCGTGCTTATCCTTGCCTTGATAAGTCATCACATTAAGGTTAGATGCCACTTCTCTCAAATTTGTAGATAGTCCAGCTGGGGTATCCAATAAATCCAAAGGCAATTCATCTGGTACACTCTCTGTAATTCGATATTTTACCTTTATTTCCGGCTCCTTCTGCTTATCCTGTATTATACCTGAAGATGTTAAGTTCATTTTCAACCTATTTTGATAAAATTCTTCCGCTCTTTCAACAGTATTTAACTGATATCTTTCTCCTTGGTATCTAAATATAATACCAACTGGGGCGTCCCACCTGAATGGGATATTTCTCTTTTTTAACTCATTCACCAGAAAACCAAATTTCTTCCTTTCCATCAATATCTTAGGTGGGAGTTCCTTGTAAATCCAAATCTTTCTTCCATACAATTGCAAATTAGAATTGAAGGAATTTTGCACGATATTATTCCTAATTTCTTTATCTGTAAAATAAATCACCACATCTCTAGGCAATTGCCTTTGCTTGGCAATCCAGGAGTTAATTCGATAAACTCTGTCAATCCTACAAAACACTTCATCAGGTTGAACCTTTAGAATCCCAGCTAGAAATTCAGAAGATATTTTCCTTAAATCATCTCTATTATTTTCCTGCAAACCTCTTAATCTTATCGCATATTCTGTGAAATTATATTGTACCATTAAAATCTCTTTTTCAATCTTCTGTTGCAGATTTTCTGCATTACCATACTTTTGATCAGCATCCATTTTAGGTTTTTCTTCTAAGCTATTATCCTGAGTGTTTGTCAAATCATTTTCAATTTTTTGAATTCTATTGTCCAATTTATCTTGAATTTCTTCCATTTTAGACTCTAGTACATTAGTATTTGTGTCCAACTGTATCATAAATTCTGTAAAACCATTAGCCACTTTTGAGAATTTTTTCTCCAAAGAATCAAACTTGGATTTCACCAATTCTTTAATTTCCTGCTTAAATTTTTCAAGTTGCTGATTCACAATCTCCTCCCTTCTTTCAATCTCCTCTATAAAAAATTCTATTATATTAAAATCAGGTTTCTGAGACTGAAGAATTAAGACTTGTTCCTTTAAGTTATTGGTGGGGGAATCCCCCCCCTTCTTGTTTATCTGACTTTATGAGTCTCAGTGCCATGTTTCCGCCCAGGCAGGCTTTGTTAAAAAAAAAGCAAGAAAGAAAAAAAAAGGACTTCTTTCCAATCAACAACAATATCAAGTCTCCAAGGGAAGAAAAAGAGAAAAAGACACAGGAGCGAAGTTTTGTCTACAAATGTAGCCAGTGGTATTTATTCCGCTACATTGTGGTAATAGAAAACGGAAGGACTTTCCCTTTCAGCCTCTCCTCCAGCCGATGCCATTTTAAAAGGCTTTTTTTCCTTCTTTCTTTTCCTCCTCTCTCTTAAGTAATTTTTTTAAAAAATCAGTAAAATACTTGCGGTTCAGTGTTACAGGTCCAGCTCACATTTTCTTTGAGTAGTCTGTTAAATTTGCAGGCTTGCTTTTGACGCCTGGCTCTGCATCAGCAGAGGTCTCCCAAAGCCCGGAGCAGCGGCTGGGGATACGGGGCATCTCATCCGCTCCGTCCCAAAAGTAAAGGAAAAACTTTTGGGACTCCGCAGAGAGTTCTACCCACCCCTGCCGGCTCTATCTCCGTTTCCTCATGGAAACGGAGTTTTTTCGAGCCGCCATTCCGTTGTGAAGGCGGCTCTGACAGGCGATGAAAGCTGACGATCCCAAAGGAACGTCTGGCAGCGACAAACAGCAAACCGGAAGTGACCATTAACTATAAAATTATTGTCTGGCATGCAATCATTCATGAGGAAGATTTGCATTATGAAATGTGTCTGTGATTATTATTATTTTTTGCCATAGGTAGTTAACCTTCTTCAAATCCTTCAAATCCTCCTATTTCTAATCTATTAGTAGAAATACATCCCCCTTTCTGAGATTAGGTGCTATATAGATGCGAGTCAATAACTATTGTTTTGGCTTTGATTGCACAATTCATTTAAAATCAGCACTGAATATATCTGTACAGACAGTCTAAAATTTATTCTTTGTGAAGACAGAATTCAATTAAAGACAAGAAAATATTGAAATGGACCTCAAATCCCAGAATTAATCTATATTTGAGTTGGTATATATAGCAATGCCTCTTTAACTATTTTAAAGGGACATGTAATCAGCTGAACTTGCTTACAGTACTGTATATGCTGCCAGTTGATCCAATATATCTTATTTTTCCATAAGATCAAAGGTTTACAGATAGGCCTTTGTTACTGTGAGATAAAATATTGTTAATGTTATTAGTTACTCTAGATCCATGATTAAAGGTTCTTAAAAGCTGTACTAGGAATTTTGCACAGGGGTAGTAAGTCTAACAGGTTCAACTATCTAGAAGCAAGTATCAATGATACTAACTGTTTCAGAAGAGCATATGTTATGTTATGTTAAATTAATGACACTTAGTTGATGAATATATTTAGGATTACTACAGTGACTCAATTTCTTCTAGGTGCAGCATGTCATGGAGACCTTACTGAGAAACTGAAACTACTTTATAAAATGCATGTTTTGCCAGGTATGTAAGCATGGGGTAATTCCAGATAGCTTAACATGATACCTTTCATGTGAAATCCTATACCATTTTAGGTGATGGTAAGAGGAACTGTAGGGATTGCCATTGCTAAACGATGCAGTCACATGATATGCTTTACGACCGCATCATTTGGTGATGAAAATTCTGGTTCCACTTGCCATCGTAACCAGAGGACTACCTAGGTAGTATTCCAGCTATAAATGATAGATATGGGGATGCATGTGTAAAATATGAAATTTGTTGATGATTTCTTATCCCTGTTTCTACAGATCCATCTTCTGATCCCGAAGAGCCAGATTCAGCATTTGAAGCAACTCAGTACTTCTTTGAAGACATTACACCAGAGTGTACACAGGGTAGAAAGATGTGTTAGTTTTCTTGTTCCTGATTAAACATATTGATAATTTTGTACAGTCTCCCTTATCTTCAAAAGGAAAAATAGCTAGCTTGTCTGCGGAGAGGAGAACAACAGTTTTAATAAGATGTCTTTTAAATGTTGCATTATCAGATTCTTACAATGACAGATTCAGTAAGAAAATTTGTGAATTCCACATACAAACAGATGGCTTACCAACAAAATTTATAACATTTGTTTCTAAACCTGTAGCTCATGATAGATCTAAAGATTAGTATCACAAATTGGATCAATATATTTGTATTTATTTATTTATTTGAATCCTACCTTATTATTTTTTACAAATAACTCAAGGCAGCAAACATATCCAGCACACCTTCCTCCTCCTATTTTCTGCACAACAACCCTGTGAAGTGGGCTGGGCTGAGAGAGAGTGGCTCAAGGTCACCCAGCTGGCTTTCATGGCTAAGGCAGAACTTGAACTCAGTCTCCTGCTTTCTAGCCTGGTGCCTTAACCACTAGACAAAGCTGGCTCTTTCATTGAGAGTTTTTGTTGAGAAGATAATGGTAGATTAAAATAATGTTCATGTCAAGATCAATATTCCATGTAGTCACTTTGAAAGAAGTTTAAAATATTGAGCATGTTTAATAAAATTGTATATAAACATAAATACGAATATAATTGTACAAAAACAAACACACTTCCTTACTAATGTATTTTCCCAAATTGCTGAAAATATAGTTTATACAGAACTAGTTATTAATTAATTAAGGTAGAGGAAAAACGTAAACCTGGAAATATTAATTATAACTATTCAATAGTAGGAGATACTAAGTGCAGCTCCATCTTCTGCAATTGATACAGTAAAATTCAATAGCCATTGTTTGTTATAGACTAGCGATGGCTTTGGGGTGGCAATCAATAGATCAGTTCTTTCCTTTTAGTATTTAATTCCGATATACTGTAGAGTTCTAGCTGATGCTTTCTCACAAAGATTTTTCTTTTCTCAGATTTTTTTATTAGAATTCTTCCCTAAAACATGGATTTAGTATTTAGTCTTGGAAAACCTGCCAGATACAAGCTTTCCTAGTTTGCAGCATTTGGCACAGATCAACCTTGGTTGATCTTGAGAAAGCAAACCAGGCTCAGGTCTGATTATTATTTGGACCACGAAAAATCCCCAGGCATTAGAATACTTTGGGAAATTGAAAAGCATTGAAAAGGATGCAATGATCAATTACATTGCTGTAAACAACAATAGCAAATAAGGAACCCTAGAAGGTCAAGTTTACATAGTCATCAGGAATTGAGTTTTACTTAATAAATTAGTAAATTAGGCTACTGTACCATCACATTTTGAAAAAAGAGTGCTTATATATTCATTCTTTTATTAGTTGTTGCTGTAGAAGGAAGGAACAAACATGGAGCTGAAGAGGGATTTGTTAATGTGAGTTTGAAAACAGAAAAAGGTATGCTGTTTATTATCTTTATCAACATCAGACCAACTTGGTCTGTGTGTAGATGCTTGGGTGGTTTAGGGATGAGGAATTTTTGGTGGATGGGGGTGTGTCTGGGGATTGTCATGTGTGTTGGGCTTGGTTATGTGAATTTCGTTGTATGGATATACTGTGTATTTACGTACAATGACAATAAAACTTTACATCATGGTTATTAGGGGAAATGTATTTGGACCATAATCAGATAAATAGTACTGTGTTTTGGATAATTGATTGTAATAGGAAAGAAGAATTCTCAAGAAAATAAAAATTGCCTTAAAATCTGGAGTCAAGAGAATAAACCCAAAGCCAAAAATGCAAAGGACTTACCTAAACTAAATCAGGTAAGTGTTCTTTTTAAAAATGCAAAATTAGCATACGCATGATGCTAAATGTGCATGATGGGATTTAATATCAATAAAGCATATACATAGTTTAACCGTGGGATGGGATTAAAAGCTTGAAAGATTTTTAAAAGCTTTAATTCCAATTGTAGAATATCCAAATTAAAATGGGGAAGTAGGACAGTGGACTTCCTTGATATTCTTCTCATGCTCTGTATTAGAGGTGAGCAGCCTCTAATCAGTGGAGCTTCACTTTTTCATTTTGCCCTGTCCGGAAGCCTCATATGAGTGGATAGCCTCATATGTCCTAAAGATTAGGACATTTTGGAGCTACACATTTCACTTTTAATTGGGTAAACAAATTGCCACAGCAATGGGAGGGATGCAACAAAGCAAACTATCTGGAAAGGTAAAATATTCTATCACTGGGAAAAGTGGGCTTATTATTCCTTTTTCTTCTACATCTTTTATATCTTTATTAAAGATGAAAGGTTGAGAACTTGGAAGTGTTATATACCTATCATGTGCCCAAGAACAGTATGCTTGAATTGGATTGCATGCTAGATAGTTAAAAATCTTTTTAAAACAACTTTGCAAGATTGCACTGGTTATTGTTAATTATTATCTAGAAGCAAGTACTCATCAAAAGCATATGTGTGTGTATGTATAAAGAAATAATCTCTTACAAAGTAAGTTTTCACTACGGAGGTATTGAACTCTTGACAATGTCATTATTGAAACTAGACAGGTGTTGTCTAGTCAGTCTGTTGGAAGAAAAACATCTGGGAGCCCCTTAGAGTTGGATTTGAATAGGATGAACATCTGCTTATCAACAAAGCATTATATTTATCTTTTACATCTAGGAGCAATTTATTGAACTGTGTAAGACCATGTATAACATGTTCAGTGAAGACCCAAATGAGCAGGATCTTTATCATGCAACTGCAGCTGTGACAAGTTTGCTTCTAGAGATTGGTGAAGTTGGTAAACTGTTTAGTGTCCAATCTATAAAAGAGGCTGAGAATACCAGCAAAACTATTCAGAATGTGCTGATTCAGAAGAAAGGGAGCCAGCAGTACCGTCTTGACCGACATGATCATTTTCAAAATGGTTTTCTTGATGAAGAGGAGAATATTTGTGACAATTCACAGATGGAGGATGTTAAACTGGAAGATTCTTCTCCTAGGGATAATGGAGCTGGTTCTTCCATGTTGATTTCTGATGATGATACTAAAGATGACAGCTCCATGTCTTCATATTCTGTCCTGAGCGCAGGTTCTCATGAAGAGGAAAAGCTGCACTGTGAAGACATCAGTGAAGACACTGTTTTGGTACGAAGTAGCAACCCAACTTCTCTGCCAAGAAGTAGTAGTATTGACAGAGACTGGGCTATCACCTTTGAGCAGTTTTTGGCTTCCCTGTTGACTGAACCAGCACTTGTGCGATACTTTGATAAACCAGTGTGTATGATGGCAAGGATTACTAATGCTAAGAATGTGCGGATGATGGGAAAACCCATCATATCAGCAAGCGATTATGAAATCTCTGCTATGTCAGGCTAAATGGACTGGATAAGTAGGGGTTTTTTAAAATTCTTTTAGGTTTTTGAAATATTTATTATAGCCTCCACAGGTCCTGGTGTTCACAAAATTTATTAGTTATTATTTATGGAAACATGTTGGGATGTACAGTACATTTATTTTATTTTGAATTATTATTTTTCTCTAATGGGAAATATCATTAAAATGCTTGTCTGAAGGGAAATCATTGTCATTGGTATACGTATTGTTAGTCTTGCTATCCATGGATAAATAGTGAAAAATTGTTCAGTTCTAATTTAATGAACATTATGTGTCTATGTTTTTCAGACAGATCTGAAATCTCTGAATAAGGAAGGAACCTGAATAACTTAGAATATTGCAAGCATAGTGTATGCTGCAGTGTATCTGCAGAGTTCCTGTAGAACATTTTCTTTTAAACTTGGCAGAATAGCACTGTTAGTATAGCTTTTGTGCATACAGAGTTGCTTCCCTCCAAACTAAATTAAGGGTAAAATGGACAGGAACTCCATGTCTGCACTTCAGCTGTTGTGCTTGTACAAAAATAGATTAAGAAAGTAATAGAAAGGGATGCTGTCAACTTGTTTAGGATTGAAAAGTAAACTGTGCAGCTTACCTGGTAGGTTTCTCTTCACATAATTTTTTTAAGAAGGCTTGTTATTTTTTAATACTTTTTAAAACATTCTTCAGGGATACTGCCAGGAACTTTTCTTGATACCTGTCAACATCCTGACCTAAACAATTAATGGTACCCCTTTTTAAAAAAATTAGACTTTTTAAAAATTCTGTAGATAATTCTGTCTTATTGATACTTTAATCCTAAACATCATAAACTTAGTGTACTGTAGATGACAAATTCATAGCCGAATTGCATAATCCTTCATTAAAACAGTTATTAGCAAGAATGTAACCTGTAAAATAGCTGCAAGAAAATGTAATCAAATGTTTGAAAATCTTAATGAATGAAATTGTCACTTTATTTATAATTAACAGAATGTGTTGAATGACAAATGGAGCACCTGCACTTTGAATTCTTGCTTAATTTTCAGAACCATTAGTTGGACACAACCCAGTAGTAGAGAACATGCAGTACAAGAAACACTTACCCAAGTAATGACTGAATGCTAATAGAGATGTGTTCTGCTCTTTGCAACCTATCTATTCAAGGAGGAGAAGAAAGAATGCTTTAAGTAACCCTACACAAATACTCCCAATATGGGCCCAAGACCCATGTTAGGACAGGATTGTGTCTAGTCTTTTTACACATTCATAGGTGATTGAATATGAGTAATTTTTATCTACTTTAACTTTGTTTGCTGTCTTCAAAAAACCTCATTTTTTTCTCTTTATGTATTGTATATTATTGTAATTATCCTTTTTAAAATTAAAACATTGATTTGATTCTTATTTAGAGTACTTAACTGTCTGCAGTGGTTTTTTCAGAAAGGAAAGCTGAATGTTAGATTATAGTTCTGCTAATCTCTTTTCAACATAATTTTAAATTAGAAATTTAAATTTGGCACTGGAGAGTGACAGCCTCCACAGCAGATAATTTGAGGAAAAAATGGAGGGGGGGAAGCCCGAGATACATCACTGAATGATACTGCACATACACTAAGTTTTCATATCTCCTTGTAAGAGCCACTACACAAAGGTGCAAATATCTTCCAAGATAATTGCATTGAGATATTATATTTAGAATTTTTAAAAAGCAGTTTCTAATACTATGTTTAGGTGCTATTTAGTGAGCATATACTGTAGCTTTAAGCAGAAAGGATAGAATAAGAAAAGACCAATAGAAAAAAAAATAGGAATTTTAGTAGCTTATTGAATTACATGTCATTTGTTAACTGATTTCAACTACTGAGCCGAAACAGTTTTAAGGGATGATAGGCAAAATTGTACATTTATAGATACTCACTATTGCATAATATTTATAGCCTGGGATTAGTAAATTTAATGTTTGAATCAAAAATTGTGGAAAAGGAAGTGACCCCCAAGGATCATTTAGTCCAATCCTCTGTGGTATGCAGGAAAAGTGCTATAATTGCAGTCAACAATGAACTAAAGGGCCACCATCAGTGAACTGTTGGACAGCGTTACTTGATCTGTGTGTGGATGTTTGGGTGGTTTGGGTATTAAGTGAATTTCGTTGTATGGGTATACTGTGTATACACGTACAGTGACAATAAAGTTATTATTATTATTTTAAAAAACTAAGTAAATTATCATTAAAATAAAGCTGTCCAGCTTTTTCTTAAACACCTCCATAGGTAGACTGTTCCATTGTTATATACATCTTACCATCAAGAAATCTTTCATTATGTATTTATAAATTACACAATTTTGTCTGTTATTTCTGATCCTAGTTTCTGTGGCAATGGCAAATAGTTCCTGACTGTTTTTCTTATGGTACTCTTTAATAGTGTACACCTGAACACAGAAATCACATCTCTCATGAGTCATCTTTTCTCCAGAACGAATAACTCAAGTTCCTTCAGTCTTCGTAGGATTTATTTTTAAGTCCTTTCTGCAAGTCAGTTCAAACTTGTGAGAACAGATCATGAAAATATGGTATCATATTCATATTCAATACTCAAGCTGTTATTCTACACCATACTGTACATCAGGATAAAATAGAGAAGAAGAAGGATTTCATCTGTTTTAGTATAGTGCTTCTTCTAAAGTAGCCCAGAACGACATTAAAACTAGTAGCAGTTTCATCTTGCTAGCTCATGCTCAGTTTCTTATCAGTGAATACAAGTCTTTTTCCAATTTAGTGCTTCTGTGTCATTTTTCTCTGTGTATGTACACCTTGCTTTTTTCCTCAAAGTGTAATTTACATTTCTTCCCATTGAACAGCATCATGTTCCATTCAACCCAATCTTCCAATCTATACAGATTAGATTGCAATCTGGTTCTGTTATACCATATGTTAACCAATTTTGTTTATTTGTTCTGATGTTGAACTCAAATGCATAGGAAAATAACATAAATAGGTCTATCCCAAGCAAGAAAGTATACATATTATAATTATTTTGCAGATATTATTATGATCCAGTTTCATTTTTGATCTGATAAACAAATATTAATTTAATGCTGTATTAGTGTGCTACATTAACCCTGTAAGCCAAACAACCATATTTTGCTTTACATGTTGTATGAACCCAGATGGTATGGATGGTCGTTTGCTATTTCAGTATGCCGTGTGAACTAGAAACTGAAATAATAAACTATAATTCAGTTAAGAATAGTTTAATGTATTTTGCAATCATAAGTGGTATCATGCTTTAATTAATACTGCACTTATATATCAGTTTTTTTTTAAAAAACTATTCAGCTTGGTTCTATTTGACTGCAATCCTTTTATTGACATATTTGTATTAGTATGGGTAAGGAAAACATATGTAGTTATTCAAAATTGTTGTGCTACAAATCAGACACAAAAAGGACATATTAAAAGCCATGCCAAAAAATAGAGCTAGCAGTTGGAAATAATAGTACATTTGCATTAAAACTATGAAATTGCTTTAATTCTACCAATTATATATCAGTTACTATCTATTTCTTTCAAAAATGTTAATATGTATATAAAACGTTAAAGGTAAGTAATTAGCTATGATTTTCTTAGATGTAGAAAACACCTCTAATAACTTTGAATAACTCTTTATATTTACAATTCTTAAAAAAAAAGTATGCTTTTTTTTAACATGGATCCAAACAAACAGCCCAGATTTTGTCACAGTGACAATGAAATAAATGATACAAAGTTGCTTCTTTCTCCTTTATTTCTATTGACTTTAGAACCACTGACAAAGAAGATACAAAATAACAGAATTGGAGGCTACCAAATCAAGAGCATAAATTAAAATCATAAGCAGATGTGCTTATAGTTATTCAAAGGATTCTTTAGAATTGATAACAATATATATAGCAGTATGGTTTATTAAACGTAAAACAATTTCTATATTAAAAACGTAAAACAATTTCTATATTAAATGTACCTTGTTTTTGGTATCAAATTTACACATATTTACATATATACGTTCAATGCAAGAAAACCATTTTGTGGATGCTGTTTCAAATGCTGAATATAAGGAGAAGAAAGCCTGTTTGGCATGCCACTTCTGGAATATTTTTCAGCAGGAGGCTTATTAGACATCCTTGCTGTGATCGAGTTAAGTACCAAGTAAAAACATTCTTTTCCCTCTCATTTTAAGTTTTTGAAGCATCAACAGCTGTTTTTATACTGTACAATGCACTGACTGCAGTTTGAGCAAAATAGCTATTCCCTTGTCTCCGAGAACAATAATCCCACTGGAGATCTCTGACTTGCATTCTCATGAGGAGCAACTGTCTGGAGCATTTGTGGGTAATCATATCCTCTCCTTGTCCAGAGAGAAGTTACAAAGAGTCAGTCTAGTTCTTCATTACAGCACTTTTTTTGCAGTTATCTTCAGTTTGCCAGTTTTCACTTTCCCGGAAGTCCATTTTTATCCTTTCCTATTTGCATGTATCTGAATTGATCTGGTATGGGAAATGTTGAATCCAGTGCTTAATCTATAGGAACACAGTTACAGGCTACAGTCTGTAATTGGAGAGTGGTGGCATCTAGCCATCTCAAGTTATAGTTAATAGTGATCCAATTTAAGATTTGATTGACAAGGTTCCATATGTGTTGATAGATATTTGTGGCTCTCAAGCCAGTAGTTATGTATTAAGGTTTCATGCCTATGCTGGTTCCAGTTAGAACTCCTGTTCCTGCAGAAAGGAACTTTTGATCCATGGCTTTATGTATTTTATTTGGAAGAAGCATAGCTAAAAGAACAAACGAGGCATATCTAAAACGGATTTGGAATGTGCAGAAGCAGAAGCTCATCTTCTGGTTCCTTCTTCTTCAGAAAAATGAAAGATATTCTGCTTCCCAACTCATTAAAACTGAACTTTTACTTCCGTTCCAGTGGGACTCTTTGTGTCCACCTCAAATACTGCATTTTATGGTTCCAAAATATACTTGTCCACAATTGCAGATAATCTGATCATGAATGGATTTCTGCCATATAGAGAGGCATTCCTATTTAGGTGACTGTCAGAACCCCATTTCTAGCCAGGATGTTTAGTGTGGAGGAAGATTGATAGTAGATTTGTTAAGGTTTGGGCAACATATGCAGAATAGGCAAATGTTTCCTTGGAATGACAGCATTTCAACCATGTTTAAGGCCTGCCATGCAGAGGCTTAAAAGCAAAAAGGATTCTTGTAAGAAAGGTGATATGGTACTTCAACCTAATTGTTCACTGATTTGTGAAGTAATTATATTTAGAACAAAATAGTAGGGAAATTTGAGGATTAAATCCAGTTTATTTTCCTCTTCTTTTCTCCACTGCTGTCAATAGTGGAAACCTTATTTTACTTTTGGAGGTTCTTTTAGATAGTTTCTAATAATTTTCCAGGGGGTTTATTCATGTGAATAAACACTGACCCTCTATACATGGAGGAGATAGGACCATTATACTTAAACCCACTCTCCCTGAACACAAATCATTGTAATGTAAAACAGAGAGGGATGTGTGAGTAGAAGAAAACTATTTATTTAAATGTATATACATCAGAGAATGTACATATCAAGTTAGAACACAGGCATTAAAAATTACAACTACAGCATACTGTATCAAAACAATAGTTTTGAATTATTTCATCTTAACATTCTCACTCCAATGTAAAGAGCCATAATTTTTATTGCTTTTATAATCACACAGAGGAGTGGGCACAATTTGCCTTAAATTGGTCTCCGTTCACCATGTTTCTCACAGTAAAAAAAAAGAAAGACAATTAGGACATAGAAAAAGCACATATATTTATATCCCAGTTTTTATTCAGGAGCTCAAGGTGCTACGCTTAAAGCTCCCTGAGGTAAGTTGGGCTGATGGAAAGTAAATAGCCCTATGAGGCTCAGTGATTTAAAACTGATGAGAACCTGGGTTTCCCTATTCCCAATCCTATGCCTTAACACCACATTGTTTTTATTAATACCAAAGTAACGATATAGGACAAATGCAAATAGAAATAGGAAGAAAAATGAACAGGACATAGCATTGAATACTGACATGCATTTGTAATAATGAAAGGTCAAGCAGCAGCAACATTCAAAGTTGCAATTAAATATTTATAGCCTTGTGAGCCAACCATTGATTTTTATAATGTTCTTCTCTTACTTGAGGAATCAATTTAATGTTTTCTTCTAATTTTCTAGGGCAATTTTAGTATATTTTTATGTTATTAGTCATTTTCAGAGATCAAGCTATTCACACATTTCACAACATAAATTTATTTTATATCAAATTCTCTTTTAGGAATGCCCACTTCAAAACATAATTGAAAAGGATTTTACAAGAATTTTTTTCATTGTGATTATAAA